GTCAGTGACCGGTGTCAGGTCCAGTCAGTGACCGGTGTCAGGTCCAGGCAGTGACTGGTGTCAGGTCCAGTCAGGTCCAGTCAGTGACTGGTGTCAGGTCCAGTCAGGTCCAGTCAGTGACCGGTGTCAGGTCCAGTCAGTGACTGGTGTCAGGTCCAGTCAGTGACCGGTGTTAGGTCCAGTCAGGTCCAGTCAGTGACTGGTGTCAGGTCCAGTCAGTGACTGGTGTCAGGTCCAGTCAGTGACTGGTGTCAGGTCCATCGACTCGTATCCAAAATGCAACTTGAAGTTTTGTTGTTACTGAACTTTCAGCCCAGAGGAAGGACATCACTGAGAGCAGTCCCAGGCAGCTTGCACATTAGGAGAATGTACAAAATTTACAGCACCAACTAATGACCCAGCATGGCAACTGGGGGGGGGGGGGGGGGGTCCTGCAGCCCACCCATCAGACCAGACCTCCTGCAGCTGAACCTGAGTTTAATTCTGTCGTGACAAATTCCTTCATTTCTCACTGTTTCAGTCAGAGACGCCTCTTGGAACAAACTAAAGGAAAGACATTAAAGCAGGCTTGAGTTTGACACCTCAACATTTGGTTCCTCGAGGTTCTGCTGACGTTTGGTTCCTCGAGGTTCTGCTCGTGGTTCCGGTCGGTTTAAAGGTGTTTTCCCGTCAGGCTGATGGAGGGCAGCGCCGCCTACGATGAAGAGTCTCTGGCCATCATCAAGCTGAGCAACACCACGGTTCTGTACCTGAAGGAGGTCACCCGGTTCCTGGCTCTGGTCTGCATCTTCAGGGAGGAGAGCTTCAAGAGGAAAGGTGGAACTTTGTTCTCCAGAACCAGTTCTGGACCTCAGACTGCAGAATTTAAACCATGTTCTGTTCTGTTCTGCAGGGCTGATCGATTATAATTTCCACTGTTTCCGGAACGCCATCCAGGAAGTGTTTGAGGTCGGCAGCTTGGTGGACGGCGCCGCCTGGACACCAGCCGGATCCTCAGGTGGAGAGCAGATGGGTCTGAAGAGCACTGTGCTGAACCACAGCGTCCTTTAAAACTCCCATCATGCATTTGGGGTAAAGCTGTCCGTACCTTTCTGGTCTCACCGGTTAGCTGCAGCTCCGCCCTCTTTCTGCCTCAGCTCTGATTGGCTAAAGGTTTTGTGTCGGAGAGCAGGAGACGCTGGCTCAGAGGCTTTTGTTCTGAAGGAGCCTCACATGACACCACTTCCTGTAAACACCACCCTCACTCTGGATCAGAACAGTTTCACAAACGGACCTCGTGTTCTGTTATAATTAAACCTCATTAAAGGGAGAGTTCATATCTTTTTAAGAGTGGTTCTGTAGAAAGTTTAAGAGTTAATATCTTACCTGCAGCTGATGTCTCATTGAATAACTTTAGTTTCCACAAAACACCTAAAAAGATCTGAACTGTCCCTTTGAATCCTGCACCTTAAAACCTGAAATCAGGTGATTTTATTTTTTTAATGTTCTGACCAGTCAGTACTGACCTGGGAAAACAAGTCCAAAGTGGAGCGTGGAGGACCTCTGGCCCCAGGTGCTGTTGGACCTTTACATTCATCATGTGGTTTTAATAAAGCTAGTTTTATGGTTTGCTGAGTCATGTTGTGTGTCAAGGCGGCACGGTGGATCAGTGGGTAAAGCTGCTGTTGGATAAAGTAAATGTCCTTTCATTGTCTACTTAAAAAGAGTTACAAACCAACACAGAAGATTTATAAAGTTTACTAGCAAGGAGGCCGAGCTCACACACAGGCTTCCACTGAGGTCTGCCCCCAGAGATCTGCCCCCGCAGGTCTGCCCCCAGAGATCTGTCCCCAGAGGTCTGCCCACAGAGATCTGCCCCCGGAGATCTGCCCCCGGAGATCTGTCCCCAGAGATCTGCCCCCAGAGATCTGCCCCCGCATGTCTGTCACTAACTACAGGTCTACCCCCGGAGATCCGTCCCCAGAGGTCTGCCCCCAGAGATCTGTCCCCGGAGGTCTGCCCTCGCAGGTCTGCCCCCAGAGATCTGCCCCCGCAGGTCTGCCCCTGGAGATCTGTCCCCAGAGGTCTTCCCCCAGAGATCTGTCCCCAGAGGTCTGCCCCCAGAGATCTGCCCCTGGAGATCTGTCCCCAGAGATCTGCCCCCGCAGGTCTGTCACTAACTAGAGGTCTGCCCCTGCAGGTCTGCCCCCAGAGGTCTGCCCCCGCAGGTCTGTCACTAGAGCTGTCATTTCCGACCCGAGCCCTAAGCCCGGACCCATCCGACTCAAATTCGGGGTGGGCCATGATAATGTGATTAATGGGCGGGCCTGGTCGATGTTAGGCTTTTAATTAGGTCAGGATCAGCCACGATCCAATTATATGATAACATGGCCTGCCATACTTCCACCAGCCACACGCGGCCATTTCACCGCGAGCTGACCGGCCCTGAAAGAGTTAAAAAGTAAAGTTTCAGATGGACTGTACTGCCAGGCAGAAATCCATCGCCCAAATGGACGTTCAGCCGCTGAACTCAGCGGACGCGCGCGGCCGATGATCCAAACAGGTGAGATCACAAAGCAGACATGTCAGAGCAGGGTCCATGTCTGAATCATGCAGAGTGCAGCAGAAACAGGTTTAATGTGTTTTGAGCACCACGAAAGGACAAAACCTCTCAGCTCCGAATCTTATGCCCCTTTCATTCAGCCGCGCGTCCCCAACTGCTATAACTAATTTTTATTTTATTTTTTTCCGTGTTCGGACCTGTAATTACTGTTACAGGTCGGGTGGGGTTCGGAAATTATGACTGCGGGCTGAGGCCGTGTTGGATCAGATTTTTTGGGCCTGAATGGAACTATCTGTCACCAGAGTTTGTTCACTCTCTCACTCACACCTAGGGACAATTTAGAGTTACCAATCAGCCTAACATGCATGTTTTTGGTCTGTGGAAGGAAACTGGAGTACCCGGAGAAAACCCACGCATGCACGGAGAGAACATGCAAACTCCACCCAGAAAGGTCTGGGCAGGGATTTGAACCTGGTGACCTGCTCGCTGAGAGGCTGCAGCTCTACCAGCTGCACCACCGTGTGCCCAGTTTAACATTAGTTACTAATAAACATCCAGAACCTGCACCTAAATTCCCCTGACAGCTTCACGGGAGTTGGTTTTCACTCCTGTCCCACTCCTGGTAACATGACTCCTGCTCATTCAGAATGACTCCCACTCCTGGACCGCTCCCATTTTTTTCTTCTTTTTAGGCTGCATTCACACCAGCCCTGTTTAGTCGCTTTAATCCAACTCTAGCTCGTTTTCCTTGAAAGTCCGGCTCGTTTAGGGAGGTGTGAACGCACCATCGAACTCTGTCACGGAACAAAAAGGTGAACTCTGGCCTGGGCTAAAACCTAGGTCTGGGTCCGGTAGAAGAGAACTCCAGCGCGGTTCAAGTACAGTGTGAATGTAAACAGATCATTTTACAAATAGGATGGCTAAAAGAAAAAGGTAACAAAAAAAAACAGCTAGATTCTAAGGCGAATGTAGAAAACTAAAAACAGGAACATGTTATCCTCATTTCATTAAGAGATGTTATATATGCTGATGCTGTAGACAGGAAGGATCTCTTGTAAAGGTCCATCCCACAGTGGATCCTAAGAAACTGGCTGCAGATGCCGTCCGATCCGTCCACCCAGACTCGGCTGGCCTCTCGGTTCCCCTGGACTGTAGGACCTCCTGAATGCTGGGCAGAACTCCTCCCAGAGCGATGGCCACTCCTCCCAGCAGTCTGCTGAGCTCCTCGTCTCTGCAGACAGCCAACTGTAGGTGCCGAGGGACGATCCTGTCCTTCTGCTGTCATGAGCCGTGTTTCCTTCTAGTTCCAGGATCTCAGTGGTCAGGCACCCGAGCACAGCTGGCAGGTAGATGAGAATGCGTCCACAGAACATCCTTTTCAACTCACTTGAGATTTGTGGCTGTAGTTGAGATATTATTTGAGCTTTTGAGATGTTAATCAGCTGCTGTTGTTGTAGAAAACTGCCTTGTTGCCATGGTTACGCATCATAACAAATGTCCAAAACTAAAAAAGTTTCAGTAAAAATCCTTCCAGCTGCTCAGCATCTGATACCAGAGGAAACAATCATCCAGAAAATGTGATTTACATCCAGAAAAAGAGGAATTAAAGTTTCCAAAAGCAAAATCTCTGAATGAAAGTAGAGCTGCTCCAACATGCAGCCACCTGGAGCGGAGCGGTTCTAGAACTATTCAGTTTACAAGAGAGACCTGACTTTAATAGAGTGATGACAACAGTGGACAACAACGACAACAATAGACAATCATAAAAGATGACGTGTACAAATTTCAAGTTTTTTTTACAAGTTAAAATAAAATGGCATCCAAAAAGACAGTCAAAAGGAAAAAGTAGCGAAATAAACAGCTAGATTTTAAGGCGGTGTAGAAAACTACGAACAGGAATTTATCTGAGGAGCAGCTTTGAGTTTAACTCCATCACTGAACTCTCATCTTGAACAAGCATGAAGGCGACAGTGGAAAGAAAAACTCCCTCATGAGGAAGAAACCTTTAGTAGAACCAGGATCAGGACAAGAGGACCATCTGCTTCGACTGGCTGGGTTTGGTAGGAATAGATACACAATGGCAGGTCAAGAATCACATGTTAAGATAGAAATAGTATCAAATGAAAACTATTTAATTTTAACAATTCATTTAAGGACATGAGGTCAGTTTGTCCTCTAGTAGTCTAAGTCTATAGCAGCATGACAAGCTGACCCTAACTATAGGAATTATCAAAAAGGAAAGTCTTCAAACTGGACAACGTGTCAGTCTCATGGACAGAAACTGGAAGTTGCTTCCACAAGAGAGGAGCCTGAGAACTGGAAGATCTGCCTCCAGTCTAGACGTGACAAATGCATGAATCAGTTTTTCCAGATAGGGTCTGGGCCAGATCTGATCCGGCTTCATGATCCTTATCTATTCCGGATTCGTTTCGGTGTGCAAGTGGACTCTGATCCGGGTCCGTTTCGAGGATCCGTTCTGGAGCCTACGCTAGATAAGCATGTGACTGATGGTGGAATTGAACCCCCAACTCCTGCATTAGAGGACGACTGCTCTAAGCACTCAGCCACAGTCGCCCAGTCCAACAACAGGAAGTAGCACATGTTCATCTGTACTGTAGTATGTCAGGACAGCTTTGCTGTGGACACACGGGCCACCATACATGTTATTTAAAACACGTACAGGCCACCATTTATGTAGTGAGCTAAGGCGTTAACTTCACTACTAATTAATTATTCTTAAAGCTAGTTCAAGCACAAAGAATATTAATTGTTTAATTACAACGGATTCTTTTTTTTTTCCAAGTTAAATTTCTGCCATGTGACCGAGATAACTGTGAGGATTGTTTAATCAGTGACATGAGACGACATTTTATCTTTGACCCATCAGAATAAATGCGGTCATTTATTTAACAGAATCAAAATTTAACATCAAAACATGTACACTTGATTTGCTGATCTGGTTCTGATTAATAAACTTGGCACGCTTTACTAACAAGACAACAGAACATCACTGATTGAGGCTGATTCACCTCTGAAGGCATCTAGATTGATTTACTGGCGAATAGCAAGGTTAAGAGAGGAGAAATAGATTTAAGGAGTAAGTTTAGATTTAAGGATGAGGGAAGATGTGTGGAACCAGAACATGGCACCCTTCCTCCGACATCCAGCTCAGCTTTCCGGTACACTTCAGGATGTCAACGGCTTGTTACCTGAGATGGTGGATACCTCCACTCCGGAACAGAAGTCCATTGGTACGCTCCCTTTTCAGCGTCTCCGGTTAGAGTAGCTGGGGGTCATCAGAAATCATGACGAAGTATTCGGTTCCACCGAATAAGCTTCCTTAGAAGTGGAGCATTTACTGCTCGGGTTGAGTCACAGCCGAGGCAGGCCGTGATTACGCTGGACTGGAGAGACCTTTGGCACATGGTCAAATCCATCCGCTACTTAGTTGAGTCTCATCTCTGACTGAAAGTTCCAGCAAGACTGGAAAAGACCAAGACTCGTGAAGACTAAGACTGAAGACAGCCCTAAGACTTAAGACTCCGACTGAGTTCCAGGACTCAGAAGACTCCAAGACTCATGAAGACTGAAAAACTCAATAGTTCCAAGAAGTGTTCCTTTTAAAGGGGTATCCACTTCCTGTTACGTGGTACTTCCTGATTGGTTGAAACAACCAGCAGGGGGGTGGTTCTAGTGATGTCAGAGGGTCACTAGGAGTCAAGAGACAGCAGGAATGTTTAAAAAAACGGTTAGTACAGACAGAGATATATTATGACGAGGTGAGACAAAGCGGGTGCCAGTTGAAGTTATTTACTGTCTGCGAGTTTTAAAAACAAGACACTTCGTTCTAATAACTCGTCTGTCTCTGACTTTCGACCGACATCACTGCTCCTCATTCAGACAGAAGACTAAATGCACACTTACTTTGTACATAGGCATTTAACTGTATGATCAAAAATCTAATGAGGTTTAAAAATCATTAATACTGTTTCACAGTTGATTTAAATGAGTGGTTCACTTCAACATTTAGAAATGATATGAACTAAACACACTTTTGATTATCAAGACATCTTAAAATAGTACTGATAATGTAAAAAAGAAGAGTGTTCTTTCAATTGATTAATTCAGGATACAATTAAATAGTCTCTTGATGAGATAATTTGTATTTCTGGATTCAAATCAATGAAATAGCAGTTCCTGTCCCCTGAAGGTCTTCAGAGACAGGTTGAGGTCGGAGGCCTAGTTCACTACAGTACGAAGGTAACTGCAGGTAAATCCTCCATTTTCTGTCACCAATACGTTGAAGGGTTAAATTAAATGATTTGTTGTATTTTGTGTTTTAAATTTAGAAACATGTCGTAACTTGTGGTTGCACACGTTTACTCTGCACTAATTTTGTCCACTACTGGAGTTTTAATTAGGTATTTTAAGCTGCTAATAAACATGATGGATGATGATCATATTGCTTTATGCTAGGCCACTGGTAAGAAAGTTGATTATTATATTTTCATATTGGCTATTGATTTTCTTTCCCTAAAACTTAATTTAGGCTACACTGTGTTTCTTAAACTGTGACTAGAATGTGAAAGAAGCGGAGCGTGCTCTGGTCACACAAGGAGAGCTGTTGGTCAGGTTACTTCTTGTTGTGCCATTAACTCTGTAGTGAGATAGGTCGGTTAGCTTCGTTAGCTTCGGAGCTCCACTACACGTTATAATATCTGGACTAGTTCAAGTACCTGATATTATACTTAATTTAAACGGGTTCTCTCTTTTTCGAGCTACTTGACAGATATGTGACAGAGATACTGTGTGGGAGATGGTCTAATCAGTGACGTGAGACGTTAAGTTTCTTTGACCCATCAAAATGAATGTGGTCATTTATTAACAGAATCAAAATTTAACATCAAACATTGTACACGTGATTATTCTGATTGAAGCAATAACACAGCTTAACTAATTACAACAGACATTTATGAAAATATCTGGATGATTTACTGGCAAGATAGAAGAGTTTTAAAGATGGGAAATGAGGGAGTTTAAATGGAGAGAAAAGATGTGTGAGGGAAAATGTGTCGACGAAGAACGGCACCGTCCATCCGAACCCAGCTCCACCTCGGTACACTTAGGTAGTGAGGGACTCGTTACCTTGTAGAAGATGTCTCCACTGGTACGGAGTTCCATTTAACGCTACCTTTCCAGCGTCTCCGTAGGATAGCAGAGAACCGTCCGGAGTAGTGACGGTACTTCGTTCAACAGCAGCTCACCTCACGGGTGGACTCACATGAGCTGTGAGTCCGTCAGAGGTTCCACTCAGATGTGGAAGATTCCATAATCCCCACAAGACTCGGAAGAACTTCGGATCATGTCTGGAACTTCTTGTTCTCTCCAGCAACTTTTCTGCTCGGTTCTGCTCTCCGAACTGAACTGCTTTTCTGAGAACTAGGACGTGTCGACATTTAAAGAGTTCTGTTTCCGGTTCATTTGGGAAGTCCTGATTGGCTGAAAGAGCCAATCAGGGGTGTGGTTTTAGTGACGTAAGAGGTCACTAGAAGTCAGAAAAACAGAAAAATGTTTTTGAAACAGACAGAGAAATGTTTAGGCGAGTTGGGAGGAAACAGGTGCCAGCTTCTCTATTTACGTCTGAGAGGATTTAAAAACATGACAGTTCGTTCCAACAACTTGTTTGCGTTTGTCTCCGACTTTTGACCGACATCACAACTTGCTCATTTCAGACAGAAGATCAAAAAAATGCATAATTACTCTGTAACAGACATTAACTAGATTTCTACTTTGAATGAGGATTAAAAATCATTAGTACTGTTTCACAGTTGATTTAAAATAAGTAGTTCACTTCAACATTTAAAAATGATCTGAACTAAACACACTTTTGATTATCAAGATATTGTAAAATAGTAATGATAATAAAAAGAGAGTGTTCTTTCAATTGATCAGTGCAGGACACTTAGAAAGTCTCTGGATGAACTTAATTTTGTGTTTCTGGACTCAAATCAATGAAATAACAGTTCTTGTCCCAGGAAGGGTCAGGACTTGACCTGAGGCTTAGTTCACTACAACTCTAAAATACTTAGTGAATCTAGTGTTACTTGTGTAGGTAAATCTAGATGTTAAACAACCGTTAAAATACACCAGAATGCAGGAAATGGCATCTACTTTATTCAAATTCTCCTGGGAGACCCCCCCCCCCCCCATTACAAACATGCTTCTGACACCAATGGCCACTGCGTGGCTAAACAAGTACACGTGTTCAAAGCACGCTCATCTTCACTGAGTCTTGGTGGTTTGCATTAATCTGGTGGTGGTGGCCTGGGATGGTATTAAGACCCTGGTCTGGATTATCCCGGTCTGCCACAGGAGGTCCTCACTCAGTCCAGTTCGTTCAGAACCACTTCCTGGACAGTGTGGTCCAGTCAGGTGAGAATCAGCTGAAACTGCAGCCTGCTCAGGATTTACTGATGACATCACTTCCTGTCAATCATGATAGGATGACTCTCAGCTGTGAAGGCTCATCTAGTTTCATCAGAATCCACCCACTGGTCCATGAGATATTTTGCTGACAGTCACCTTTCATGGTGGAAATATTTCGTACATTTTCCATCTGAACAAACGGATCAGACGTAAAGTTTTATAAATAAAAACCACCCAGAAGTTTTTGGTTCTTTTAGACGATTCCTTCTGAAACGTGAGCTCAACATTTAAAAGGACCACAGCCGTTTGGATCCCAAACGGTTCTGACCCGATTAGACCCACGAGGGTGACGTCACTCACTGACAGCTCAGGAAACTCCTAATTAAACCCAAACTGTTCACTCCTTGAACCCAGAACCACCACCACAATACTGCCATGAACCTAGCAAAACAGGTCCACATTAAAAAGTTCTGCTCATGAGAAGGTCCAGAGGACCGAGCTGAGCCCAGCAGAGAACAGAACTTTAACTGTTCTGAACCCAAAGACTGAACCAGGTGAAGCTGGAAGAACCCCCTCAAACACGACTCGCTGAAGTTAACTCCAGAACCTGAAGACGTCCCATTCTCTCCATCTGGACCAGCCGGGTCGTCTGGTACCACCTGTTGGATGACAGCAAACCCAGTTAAGAACAGCTGGATTGTGCTGATCACGTCTCGCATCAGCGCGGCTGTGGCTCAGTGGTTAGAGCAGTCGTCCTCCAATGCGAGAGTTGGGGGTTCGAATCCACCAGCGGTCACATGCTGAAGTGTCCATGAGCAAGACACTGAACCCTCACAGCCTCTGATGTGTCCATCAGTGTCTGAATGTGATGAAGCTCTGGTTAGTCTCTGTAGAATGATTTGTTCAGTTAGCTCTGTAGAGGTCTAGTATAGAGCTGTATGAGTGAGGCACAGATTGTTGTGAAGAGCTTCGAGTGTCCTGAAATAAGACAGAAAGGAGCTGTAGAAGTACAGTCCATTTACATCTGGACTCTGGTTCTGGACCGTGGGTCGTTGCTGGACAGCAGGAACACGGACGCTTCAAAAACAACAACATTCGTGTTTTTGGTCTTTTATTAATTTTCTGTAAAACAAACGTAAACAACGCGGCTGATGTTTAACAAAAAGCTTCACAATAAATACAGGAGGAGCAACAGCAGGTTCTAACGGGTCCAACAGAACCAGGGGAGAAGTCCACAGGGAGTTGGTCTACGTGAGTCCAGGTCCAGAGAAGTTCAGGTAGAGTAGTCCTGCAGGACGACAGAGACAGACTTGTCAAAATAAAAGTCTTTAGTGTGGGCGGAGCCGAACAGAACTTTACTCACAGCTCGGGGTTTCTTGTTGACCTTCATGTCGAACCTGCAACAAACAGCACGAGTTAGACGGCCTGGTTCTGACCCGAGTTCTGCTGCAGCCACTACAGAACCACACGTCGGACACAGAACAGGAAGCGGACATGCCTTAAGAACCAAAGACGTGCAGACAGGAAGACAACGAGCAGCAGGCAGGCAGGAAGTTCACACTTACTCAAAGTCATAATCAAACATGGCCGACGGGCTGAGGGAGCGGCGTTATGGAAGGAAGAGAGCAGCAGCTGTTAGTCGGCCCACAGAACCAGAACCAGAACCTACAAACAGTCCTGACAGAACCTCAGAGTGGCTTCACCATAAACTTTGTTCAGGTTCTGAGCCGCGAACGACCCGTTCAAAGCCGATCCTCTGAAGAACGGGTCGGGAGTTATTTGTGTTTCCAAGAAGGACAAAATGAAACGGCTGCAACATTTGGGCAGGTTGCTCTGAAGTGAGGTGGAGTTAGGGTGGAGCGAAACGGCTCATCGTGACACTTCACTGCATCTGACGAGAACGATAAACTTTGTGATGCAACAAAAAACTGAAATCAGACTTGTTCATTTGACAACATTAACATGTTGCTTTGCAGCATTATATAAAAACTAAAAAAAGGGTTAATTTGACTGAAATTACTTTATGTAGTAAAATATTCGGTCTCCAAGTATAAAGATAAAAAAGATCCTTCTGTTATTTAGATGAAACAGTCTGCACAAAATGCAGATCAATAAATCCACCACAAAAACTAAAGTGCAGGTGCAGCTTCCTGAAATAACTGAATGAATTAAAGCTCAAGATCTGTTGATCATAAATGGAACAACAACCAGATAAATGTTTCTTTAGATGAGCTGTAACAAGGTGATCATGTGACCCTGAAGCTCGTGGTGATTCATCCGTTCCTGCTCCGTGGACGCTGGAACACAAGCCCCCAGTGTACTCCTGCGTGAACGGACGTACACGTGCGCAGAGGGTTCAGACTCCAGCGTGCACCCGAGCAGCTGCAGAGCAGCTCCACAGACCGGGGGCGTTGACCTTCAGGACAAATTGAGGTCGTCGATTGGTCATTTGCGGACACGCCTACTGGATTGATTGACAGGTCGTAAAAAAGGAAAAGCGAGCGCTGGCAGCCTCAGCAGTGTTCTGTTTATATGTTGTTCATAAAAAGAGCTGAAAAATAAATAAACAGGGAGCGCTGGCCCTGCAGCCCACACATCAGACCAGCCCACCAGGAAATCTCCAGACCCTCCCGCAGCCACGCTGGACCTGAGTTTAATTCGCTCGGGGGGTGGGGGTAGTTCTGCACGCTCGGTTCTGTTAACGGGGCGGGGCATAACGGCAGGGCAAACACTGACATACTTACGTCATGAAATTATCATATGATGATCAGATGTATTTTTTACAGGCAAGTTTTTTTTACGGTATTATCACGAACGATACGATACGGCCCAGCCCGATCTGGAGTCACGGTAAAGGACCGGGACCTGGACTGCTGGTCCGCTCCTCCTTAGAACCTGAACCCAAGGTCTGCTCTGATGTTGGACCAACGGTTCAGCCCGTCTGTGCACGTTCATCTGTAAACATGTTCATGAACAGACTGAGGCCTCCCTGACGCACAAACCCAAACGACCCGACTGGTCAATAAATCTTAAAAACTACCTGGCGGAACCAGAGCGTCAGGTTCTGATCGAGGTCCAAACGGTCAGAACTCATTCAAGCTTTGTGTCTGCAGGTTAGTCCCATCGAGCCTCGGGGACTCTTTTACAAAAGAGACCTGCTTGGAAGAGGTTCTGTCTCCTGGTGCTGATGACCCAGTTTCAGGTGGTTCTAATGAGCTCATGGTTTTTGGACCAAGGCCGTGTTCTGAACCCAGCTGACGGTCCGTTGAAGAGATTATACAGAAACCCGGCTCTGTTTGGACCGGGTCGGTACCTGTGTCTGTTCTTGTTCTTCCTCTTCTTGTGGCTGCCGTGGTGGCTGCCCGAGGACGAGGACGAGGCTTTCTGAGGCTTCAGGTCCTGCAGCGCCGAGTCCATGTCCTCCGTGTCCTCCTGGCTCGGCTCGTTCTCCTGGTTCTGAAGGTCCGGAGAGCCGTCGCTCTCGGTGCCGCTGCCGGCTTCACCTGAGGAGATCCAGAACCGAGTCAGAACCAGCTCCTCCAACACCGTCCGTACTGCAACTTGAAAAAAACACTCACGCTTGTCGTTCATGTGATCCGGGATCCCGCCGAGCGCACACACCGCCTGCGGATCAGAACCGGGTCTCAGTGGGTCGATTCAACAAACAAGAACAAAACAAACGAGTCGGACTCACAGCGACCGACGTGACGGACGATTTACTGAACAGACGCTCGGCCTCTTTGAACTTCCTGTTCCTCCTGTCCGTTTTACTGTTGGAGTTCCTGAAAGGGCCACAAACAAACAAACAACCATCGTTCAGCAGAGACAACAACAAACAAACAA